TACCTTTGTTTAGAACATGTTAAAATGTCACTTGAGGCTTTTCTTTAGCTGTTCAACCCCAGGATCCAACCCCAGGAAATACTGTGTCTCTAGGATAAAACAAACCTGCCTGACATCTTAAAACAGAATTAAAACACATGTGAGGGTCATGAGTGAGCCCACACTTGGTTGTTAGAAGAAATTTATTATCTAGGCCCAAGTAAATGGAACAAAACCAGGACTCAGTGGTCAGACTTAGAAATATTATTATTGCTGTTACTGAAAGCACCATTAGCTTTAGAATATTTGCATGAGTAAGTTGAAAAAAATTTTAATCCAGGAAAAAAAAAACCAAACCACAAATAAAAATCATATCTACTTTTTATTTTTATCTCTGCTCCCCAATTATTATTTGTGGGCTTATTTAGACACAGAGTCCCTGGAGATTCCCTGAGGATATGTGGAGATTATTTGATAACCTTCATGGTGTTTAATTCCCAGAAGAGAAGATGGTTCCCCCAGTAATGACAACACAACTAGAAACTTGTAATATGCACCTTGGTCTTTGTTCCTGATGTGAGAACAAGGAGGAACAGGCTGAATGGCAAAAAATAATCAGTGTCAGGGAAGAATCCAGTGCTGTTTAAGAATCTGCAAGCCTTTTCTGTGAACTTCTATAACAGGTACTGAACCCCTTTCAAACAATTCTTCATCAGAGGGTGTGACCAAGCATCATTAATATTTAATATCCCAGCTAAACCTGCTGCCATAAAGTGATTGCTACAGATGTTGGTATTTTCCTCTCTGTTTGGCTATTCAAAACATAATTCCTTAGCTAATAAGTGGCTCCTTGCAGCAGTGAAGGAGGTTATTTGAATGTAATTCTACATTCTCGGACCTCAAATATCTCTGGACGAGATAACAGCTCTACCCTATAAAAATTCCTGCAATCCCATGACTGAAATACAGCAGATAACACTGAATTATTGGAAAAAAAAATATCTTTGTTGCCAGACAAAGAGTTAAAAGCCTGGATTTGGCTGCTCTGTGTGCATTCCATGCCCTTCCTGAATAGGATTATCTGGGATTGCCCACACTGGGAATTATTCTGTGTAAATACCCCAAGTGCAGGGGTTTCTGGGTGGGCAGAGGCTGAAGGAGCAGCCATTCTGGGATTCTAAAATTTCAGCTGTCATTTCAAACCACAGTTCATTTTTATTTCTAAAAACAGAGTTAAAAAAAAAAGAAAAAAGAAAAAAATGTAATTCAACATCTTAATTATTTTTTTCTTAGATTATTAAGAACTTAAAAAAACTGGAGACCACAGCAAGTTTTGGCAGGAAGTTTTCCCTTCTGTCTGAGGTGGGTTATTTTATTGCAGACCTTCTTATCTTACAGCAGGTCTTTCATTAAATGCAATAACATTTCACATGCCCTGAAAGATCTTTCTGTAAATTTGGGAGATGTGGGGAAGGGACAGCAAAAAGGGGTCCCTTGGACAGGTCAGTTCTCAGCCTGTGCTGCAGGAGTTGCTGCAAGGGCTGCACAGAGGAAAAGCTGCTCCTCAGAGATGCTGATGGTAGAAAATAAAACGATCCAAGGACTCTTACTGATCAAACCATTCATTGGAGTGGAAGCACTGGGAGATTACTTCCAGTTTCTGGAAATTACTGCCAATAAACAAATACCCAAACGGTGACTCCAGAAAAGCTGTTCACACCTTTTTTTTTTTTTTTCTTTTATGCATCGAGGCAAGAAAGGGAAATAAATTCTTTTTTTTTTTTTTTTTAAATGAAATGAAATTTAAATGAAATATTACACCCTGGTCCTTGAAGAGATTTCAAGCCACGGGATACTCTGGCTGCCATGAATAAAGGAGGAGACAAGGTCTGAGACAAGGTTCCAAAAGCAGGAGGGAGAGAAAAGTGGGCAAGCAGAGATTTATAAGTTTCATCCCAATAGCAGGAGGGGCCCTGCTTGCCAAGGTTAGCTGACACAAGCACAAAAATGCAATAGCTGTAAATTTGTCTCCAGCAAGATCTATTGTCACTTGGAGATGATGAAACCTGTTTTATCATCTGGCTTTTAAAATATATACACAGAGCAGGGCGTGCCATTAGCAGAGAAAATAACACTTGGTTGTGAAATGGGAAGAGGATGCACAAACCTGGGGTGGATTAAACAGAAATAAAGTGACTGTGTGGTGCCCAGGTCCTAAAGAACTTTTACAAGGTGCTCATGAACAATTCAGAGCATCCTGTTCATGTAAATAATCCCACATAAATCAACATTTAAAAAAAAGAAAGACAAGTTACTTCAGTGATCATGAATTCTACTGGAAGCACAAACCTGCTGGATGAACAAGGAATTCCTACTTTCCTCTTCTCTCAGGGCAAAATGTGGGATGAGAGAGGATGGCAGACAAGCTGCCATCAATTCAAATAATCAGAATTTCTTCAATGGAGCAGAATTATTATTCTTTAACACAGGAGTTCGACTTGATGATCCCTGTGGGTCTCTTCCAGCTGAGGATATTTTATAATTCTGATTAAATAAATGCAAGCAAGTCATGGCTTGGAGGAGCTGAAAGCTCCTTGTAGGGGTTTGTTCAAGCAGCATTAGATGAGTCCCACCCTGTGCATGGCCACATCCTATTTACTGGACATTTTAAAGCCCCCTAAGAGGACACTGCTCTTTTTCTAGTTCTGAAAGTGGTCCCTGCAAGAATAATTTTTAATGCAGAGTGCTGAAAAAAAAAACCAAACCTGAAAGTGAGAAATTACTCTTATTTATTGCATTGTGGAAAAAATCAGATCAACCTCAACTTGAGGATTTGCACAAACTCTGAGGCAGTTCCCACTGCCAGCAGTGACCAGTCCAGGAAAAAATGACAGCAAGGGTTTCTTTGAATCAGTCCTGACCAAAGAGTCCTTTAAATAAAGCTGGGAAAATTGGGTTTATAACCATGTTGGAAATACAAGACCTGAGTAGCACCCTGGGATTTTCTAGAGTGAAAAATCTCAATATAGAGGGAATCTAAAAGAAGGACAAGTTTTATTTAACCTCAAAAAAAAACCCAACAACGACCCAGAGCTTTCAGTCTAATCACTGTTTAAGGAAGGTCTGATCTCAGCTTTGAGCTTGGATTCTCTGCCCAGTCCAGGGCACATCACTTAAATTCTCTGTCTCCATCCCAGTGAGGGGATGAGGGTGACAACACTGATCACTGCCTAAAGCTCAGTCCCAAATCTTATTGTCACTTTAAACCTCCAGCACTCAGGGAATTAAATGAGCCCTGGGTGGAGAGAAACCCCCAAGTGCTTTATTGCCCTACAAAACATTCAGCAAATGAAATGATTTCTCCGCTAAGTCAGGATAAAACTACAAAATCTCAATTTTCCTCTAAGTTTAGTTGAATAGAAGAAGGAGGAATTTCACCCAGGTTACTTATTCATTGGGTTTAAAAAAGGAAAGAAAGAAATAGGCCCTTCACAGGCAGATACATCCCACAGGTCAGATAAATTGCTTTGTATCTTCGAATAAAAGGAGCCATAAGAGCACTCAAAGAACAGGACTTTAAACTTGCCTACTCATATTGACAGAGATGAATTTCATTCTGACTGAAAATCCATCCAAACTTTAATTTTGAATGAACCTTTGATTGTCAATTAATTTTTCTCCAGGTCCTGACTTTCACTTTGAGATATCAGTGTTCCCCCCAGAACAATTCCTGCCTAAAGTGCAGATTTGTTTTCTTCTCAGCCACGTTTCTTCTACAGCACAAACCAAAATTTCCAATTCAAAACAGGTTCTGTTGGAGGCAGCATCTCGAAACATCTCGAAACCTTGGGCAAAAATCAGAGAAACAGCCACAAAAACCAACAAGCATCTCACATTCATCTGCCCATCCTGGTCTGCAGCTTAACACCTTCTGCTGGCAGAGCATTTTTACCCTAATGGATAATTTGGGGGGTTAAAACAAATCCCACAGTCAGCTCAGAAGCTCTGTGTCACCCTGTATTTCCTGCTGTAAAAGTTGTTCTCAGTATCCACAGGAGCTGCAGCCTCTTAGCACTGGATTTTAGTAACAATTTAATGGCTAAACAAACAAGTAAAAATTAGTTACATGCCTATAAGCCAGGACTGAAGAAACCCCATGTTGATGCCACTTCAAATTAATAAATGGCAAAATTGCCAAAAGGAAGGAGTTTGCTTGAAAATGTTTGCTCCCAAAGCAAAGAGTGGAGTTAATTAATCAGCACAGAGTTGTAACTGGATCAAAAGCCACGTTTTCATTGTTCACAGGGCTTGGGAAAAGCTGCTTTTTCTTCTTCCATTGATGTCACTCTGGGGTTACTGATTGGAGCTCAGCTCTGCTCGTGGGGCAAAGGGGAGTGCTGGACATAAAAAGAGGCAGAAATAATAATAATAATAATAATATTATAATGCTCTTTACCAGGCACTGCTGTAGGACTCAGCTAAAGCATGCACTGGTAGCAGGCTTTACTCCACAGTAATTTCCTACATCAATAATCTGTAGCAACTCTGGGCTGGACACCTTTTCTTTGAACAGAAAGTGAAATCAGTGGGTAAAACCAGTGTGTTACATCACCCAAATCAATATGCTGCCAACACCAGGCAAACAGCCCCAACACTGCCTCCAACACAGTAAATTTTGGCTCTAATACAGTAAATTACTGGCAGATTTGAAAGACCCCAAAAATCCCCCAGGGGCACGTGGACAGAAAGTGTTGTTGCCTCAAGCTGCCAGTCCAGGAGCTGGAGAGGAAAGTGGAGGATAAACTGAGTGAGGTCATGCAGGGCGTGGGGGCAGGGGGTGGAAAATGAAGGTGAAGATCCTCAGTGGTGGGGTGTCAATTTGGGAGCTGAGATCAGCTGCTGGCAGATCCTGATTTACTTCGACTGAGCGAGGTGTCTTGGCCCCTGAGGCCCAACCATAAATACAGCCAAGATTTTTTCGGACAGATTCCCCAAAGCAGCCCTATAAATTGTACCTGTTTGCAGAGAGGTGTTTTCAAGGGGGAGAAACAAATAAAATCAGTATTTGCAGGCTTCTCTCAGCTGCAGGTCCATTCCCAAGTTTTACTTCCATGGAAAAATGCTGCCAGGCTCTCTGCCCAAAACAAACCTCTTCATTTTCAGGTGGTTGCTTACACACAGACAAGGTGATTGTCACCTCCTCCCCTGCCAGATTGGGAGGATCAGCTTCTAAAAAAGGGGGGAAAAAAAAAGAAAAAAAAAATAATTTTTTAAGGATCTTTAAAGAAAGACTCAGCATTTCAGCAGCAGCTTTCCCATGTTGCTGTTGTGAGGAGCATCTTCCCCACAACAGCCCGAGTAACAAGAGATAGACAGGGAGATAATTCCTCGGTGCTTTGGAGCAGCGAACAAACAAAAGACGATTGCAAATTTTGAATCGCCTCCCCGGACCTCTTTTTATCTACACTTCTCACCTGTTACAAGAGCTTTAAAGAGAAGCATCTGAATGGCACCAGCTTGTGGATTAATGAACGCTGGGAAATGTTCTTCGAGTGCCGTGCAGAGGCTGAGAACGTCGGCGGGACTGAAAGTGGAAAGGATATTAAACAGGAAGGGAAAGTGGTTTCGCAAAGTAAGGGCATGATAAACTTCAGGAAAGAGAAAAATACAGATGTAAGATGACATCTTTTGTTTCCTGGAAAAGCAGGACTCCTTCGAGGCACTGGGAGAAGTCCGGACTGGGGATGGAAAGCCACATCCCTGATCCTACTCCCAGGAGAAGCATTGTCCCTGTGTCCCATTCCGTGCAAACTCTACAAAGCTGGCTCAGAAGGCTGTGCAATGACACCCTGCACCTTCCCAGGGCACACACAGCCCCCAGGACAGGGAATGTGTCACCTAAACCCTGATCCCTCAGCCGGGGGCTTTACCCCCACCTTGCCCACGCTGTTTTCTCCAGAAGGGAAAAGCCCTTCTTGTTCTGGGGACAATCAGTGATTTAGGGCTGTTTTTGGGATATACAAAGTGTGAGGTGGCCCAGCAGCAGCTTCTAAGCCAGGACTTGCTGTTCAGCAGCTCCAGAGCCACACAGGAAGGTTTTAACCCCCCTCTCACTGCCCACCAGGGACAAACACTCAGCAGTGCCTGTAACCTCCCACATTCCATCTGAATTATTCCTCTCCCATTTTTCTTCCTGCTGTTTTATCCCCCCTGGAAGTTCTGCCCCCTTGGAGCCCCCCTAACTCACCTTTCCCTGTGGGTGCAGGGACCTCTCGACTGCTCTCACACAACTTCCAATTTTAAAAACTGCTCAGTCGAGCCGCTCACACTTTTTGTCACTTTAATCTCTCCTTATAAATCAAGCCCTCAATCTCCATCACTTCTGCTGTCCTTCCACAGCAGCCTATTCCTGAGTTTCTGTTCTCTCTGGCAAGCTGATAAAAGGCAACAGCAAATATTTGCAACGTGTCCTGCAGTTTGCAAATCGTAGGAGCAGCTTTGTTGTGCGTTGAGGCGTGTTCTGGTGTTTACTCTGCCTGTTCCCTGCGTCCTTATGCTTTAAAAAAAACCCCTCACCAACCTTCCAGGAGGGGAAAAAGATCACCAGGTAATCAAAATACTGAATACTGAAAAGGTCAACATAATGCTGTACAGAACCTGAGCCACCACGACGTATTAGGTATTAAAATGATTGTATCTTGCACTTCTGAGAAAGAGCAAGGGAGAAAAAGAGCAAAGCATTGAGCATTAATCCACTGGGGTGTCAAAGACAGCAATGAAAAGGAGAAAGATACAGTCTGGAATACAGTTTTGATTCGAGTTTATTTTTGTTTGGTTTGTTTTTTTTTCCTAAAGAGGGATTTCCCCTTCCTGAGATAAATATTCAGAATCCAGCAGCCTCTACGAAAAGACCTTCAATAGGGGAGAAATTCTGGCCTGGAACAGAAGGAGTTGGAATTCTCTGCTACAAAATAATTGAGATATTTATTCCAGCGTCTGCATCCTTCGGATGCTGCTCCTGACAGCGCTCTTTGTGCCACGCTGGTCCTACACCAAAAGCAGACACGTGTAGAAAGGACCTTTTCCCACAGAGGTTTTTCAGCTGCACCAGCCAGGCCAGTGATGGAGGGTTTTGTTATCCGTGCTCAGGAAACAAGGGCCGTGAATTCGCTGAAATTCCTCCAGAGGGTTTCAACAGCACAGACACGGGAGTTGCATTTGCATTAAACAATGGCTGAATAAATAAATCAGCATTTCCAGCAATTAGTCAGCGCTGGGATTGTTGCCTCGCAGCTGGGTAATGTTACACCACGTCCAGGGGGCAAAAACCAAAATTCTCCACGAAAAGCGTAGCCAAAGTTGCTTTTCTGTTGTTTCTTTTTTTTATTATTATTATTTTTTCAAAGGGAATAAAAGTTGCAACACTTCCAAAGTAAAAAGGTAAGTTGTTTTGCCACTTCAGACTGCTACAAAAGATATAAACATCAGCGGAGAAAACCTCAAAACATCTCAGGGTTTTGATTCCGGCTTGTTGTTACATCGTATTTTTTTTGTTCCAGGGAACAGAAAATACTTTTTAGCTGTCGAAACACACGCAAAAAAGTCGATTTTTTAAAGACTATTGCAAGAACTGAATTTATCCACAGCTTTTTGGACAGCGACAAGCTCTAAGTAAAATAAAACAATTAACGGTTCGTTCAAACCTGCGAGGGGGGGTTTGAGGGCACAGATGTGACACACACCTCTCTCCTCACAGCCCTGCCCTTTGGTTGCAGTGTTTGCAGGGTCAAAAAAATGCTCTAAATGCAGATTTAGGCGCGTTTCTGGTGGTTGGCAAACGCAGGGAACTGCAAGGCTGCAAGGGAACTGCTGGATGGGTGGATGGATGGATGGATGGATGGATGGATGGATGGATGGATGGATGGATGGATGGATGGGTGGAAGGATGGATGGATGGATGGATGGATGGATGGATGGATGGAAGGATGGATGGATGGATGGATGGATGGATGGATGGATGGATGGATGGATGGATGGGCTGAGTCCCTTGGCCACACATCTGGTACACCCTGAAAGCTCTGCACTTTCACGAAGATGGAGAGGCAGTGGCAGCAAACCAGCCCCTCATTCATCAATTAACCTCATTTTCCAGAAGCAGCACAGTGGACACCCCAGGGAGTGGTTAATGCTGAGCACAGGAAACAGAGTGGAGCAAATTCCCGCTTGGGAATGAGGGTCTGGAGCAGCTTCCTGCAACCCCCCCTGCCCAGGAGAATCAGCTGCTTCTGGAAGAGAACAGAGGTCACGATGCCACAGGATGAGCGAAGAACAAACTGCTCTGAATTTTGGCTCCTTATCATCCCCCACTGCTGAAAATGAGGCTGAGGGGAGGCTGTGCTGGGAACTGGCTCTCCCAGCTCCCTTTGGCCATCACAGGGCAGGGTTTGGCTCCCATTTCAGACAGATCCAAACAGTAAATCACAGCCTGGAGGGTTTGGATGGGAAGGGACCTTAAAAAGCCCATCCAGCTCCACCTCCTGCCATGGGCAGGGACATCTCCCACCAGCCCAGGTTGCTCCCACCTGGCCTTGGACACTCCCAGGGATCCAGGGGCAGCCACAGCTTCTCTGGGAATTACATCCCACCCCCTACCCTCCCTCACAGGGAAGAATTTTTTCCTCAAGTCCAACCTAAACCTACTCTCTTTCAGAACCAAAACCTGCTCTCTTCCAATTTACAAACTGAAACCATTTGTGCTGCAGCTGGAAAAGCCTCAGCAGAGTTTTGTCCCAAAATCTGGCTCCTCTCCACAGTTTTCTTCATTAGAGTATTTTTTTTAAAGACAAAAAGGCAACATTACCAAGATTTGTGTTTGCCTTTGATGCTTTGTTTGATTTCAATCACTTTCCCCTTCACTCCTGAGATAATGGCTCATTAATAATCTCTTTTTGGAAATTGCAGTTAAATAAGAGTGGAAACAGACACAGTAAATTTCCAGATAAGCAACTTGAGACGATACCATCAATAAAATCCTGGGTGGCTATAATGTTACCATATTAAATTTACAGCATCTGGTTAAACAATCTTTCCCTTCCTTCACTGTTCCAAATGTTGCTCCGGGATATCTTTTTACAGAGGATAATTTGTGCTTTTATGGAGGGACTGTAAACAGGCAGGAAAACCAATATTTTGGTGCATTCCACATGCTGGGCTCCACTTCGTGGAGTCTTTCAGTAAAACCTCTTCCAGCTTCAAAACTGGGACTGCAGGAATTTCCTTTCCACTGTTCCCAGGCTTGATGCTGCACAAAGCCAGGGATTTGTCAGCAGGACACAGGGAAAAATAAGAACAAGGTGTTAAAGACCTGCAGAAAAAATCCCTGTGAGCCAAAATCTTTAGTTTTAGAGAAAAAAAACAGCACTGAGAAAAGGATGATTTCTCCTGGAAGGGATTAAATGTGGCCTAAAAAGCCAGGGAAATAAATGGTGGGTTTAAATAATACCAGAATCCCGAGCTTTGCTCCATCCCTGCTCCACTTGCCAAAACCTCCTGCCACTGTCACAGTTTTGGGACGAGAGCAGTTGATTTACCAGCCAGGCTTAAATGGTCTCCTAAACCCAAAGAGCCAGTATTTATGTCCCAAAGCATCCAGGCTTGTTGATATTGGAAAAAAAATAAAAGGAAATGGGGGATATTAACTGTGGGGGTTTATTTTTATTGTTCTCATTGATCTGGGGGATTAGGAAGGGAAGCCTGAAAGGGTCTGGATTGCTCTGCCTTCTGGTTCGTGGGGTGCTCTGCCCCAGGGGGGTGAACCCCACAGGATTTAAAGGAAATTAAATCAAGAAAACCCATAATGCAACTTCATTTCATAATCAGCACCAAGGGGTCAGACTTGGCTGATAGGCTGGAAAAACAAAGAGAAAAGAAAAGCTACTGGTTTTCTCCCAAAATAACTGGGTCTTTCAACACCTTTAACAGAACTTAAATAAAATATTTTCCAACCCAAAAGCCTCCTTTTCCAGTTTTCCAAGCCCAGAATTAAGGGTGTGCATGTTTAAATCAACATTTTCCCCTAAGCTGATACCCAGCAGTTTCGTGCTCCGGGGACACAATTCACAGGGTTAATTTGAGAGAGAAAGGAGAAAAAAAAAATAAAATAAAATAACTAATGGGCTATTCATGGCTTGGTAATCTGTTGTGGTTGTTGCAAACCTGAAAGGAAAAAAAAAAGAAAATCTATTTTCTTATTGACAGTTTTCTCTCTCCCTGAAGTGGAAATTCTGCTTTTATAGCAGGTGGTTTGTCTGTTGTGGGCTCTGGCATTGATCTCTCTGGCTTTGGTAAGAGGGAAACCTATTAATTTGGGGAAAACAGCATGAAATATTGCATTAAAAAAAAAAAAAGCCACAAAATCCAGGCACTTTGGGGACAACAAGGTTGGTTATTCCTTTGATAAGCAGAAAAATGTAGGCAAGTGTCAGAGAGCACCTGAAGATCAGAGAGGATCATCCAAGCAGTGCCTGGGCAGCTCTAATGGATCTGATGAGCAGGGTCCTGGGAATCTGCATGATTAATCAGGAATAACAAGAGTTATCCCATGGTTCTGTCTGTGTTTCCTGTCAGGGAAGAGCGACCTTTGAGTAATTCCTCCCCAGGACAGGATTCCCTGCGTGTTCCTCAACCCTGGGTTGATTTTTCCCACTATTCCAGACTAAAAATACACATTTATGCTTCAAGCCCACGGAGTGATTTGGAATGAAGCTGAAAGCTCAGTTCCCTCAGCCTTGTTTCAGCCTGCCCTGTTCACCTGGGGTGAATTCCACGGGATCTGGTTCCTCAAATTCCCAAATTCCTGTGCTTTGGAGCAGGGGTTGAGGCTGTCAGAGAGGTCTGGAAGCACATGGGATGTGGGAGTACCACAGATCCAAAGATGGGAAGGACTGGGGAGAAAAGGAGAGAAAATGGGAATGTCTCAACCTGGCTTGGGTGGGAAGGGACCTTGGAGATCATCCAGTGCTTTCCCAGCTTGGAAACAGAAGGCACAAACAAGAATGAGAGAAAAATAAAGCCAATAATTGGATTTTAAAGTTTATAATTATCTGTATTTAGGGGGAGGGAAAAAAAAAAGTCTCCTTGTAAGACCCGGGCAGGTGGAAGGGTCTGTGATCTGCACTGACAGGTTCAAAAGCCTCTTTCTTTTAAGAGCCACTTAATTTACACTCAGAAGCCATTGGGTATCACAGGCACGAACAAGCTTTGACAAGGAATCCGTGGCAGAGGTGAAAATTATCCTGGAAAAGCCTGACACTCCATCATTTAGAAGCAGGTGATTCCAGCTATGACCCAACTCCTTCATCTGTGGGCAGAGTGTGCCGTGTGACAGGAGCCTTTTGATGCTCTGCAGATGAAAAGACATTAAAACTGCGAAGGATTGTTCAATTAAATGAAACACTGCGTGGTTTAAGGAGATGAAAAATTTAAAGATGACTAATTTAGGCAAGGCTGGAGGGTTTCCAGGGCTGGGGAAGGGGCTGGAGCACAAGCCATGCTGACTTTTCCAGACTTCAGAAACGCAGCCTCAGCAGCTCTGCTTAATCCACTGCTCTAATCTGCATCACACAAAAACCTATTTGCCATATGTTGATTTATTTTTAGGCCCCCCTAAAAAAAAAAAAAAAAAATCATTAGGAAAATGAGTGTGGCAGAAATCCTGTGCTGGAAAGAGCAGGAGTGATGTTGGAGGCAGGACTAAAGCTCTTGTTTCCTGGGTTTAGGGCCATTAGGCTTTGGTTTGAGTGATCATCAGTGGGGGTGGGATTTCTATTTTTATTTATATATATAAATATATATTATATTTATATTATTTATATTATATCTTTATATTTTATATATTTTTATATATTATATATTATATATTATAGATATTATATATTATAGATATTGCATATTAAATATTTATATATAAATATATAATATCTATAAAATGCATATAAATAAATATATATAATATATATAAAACTGCATATAAAATACATATAAATATATATTAAATTTATCAAAATATTATCTACATTTTTTTTTTTTAGTCCTCCTCCCAAATGCAGATGATTCTGAGAGGGCCATATTTCCCAGCTGGACATTCCAGTCCCAAGGAGTTTTATTTATTTATGGGCAATGATATTGAGAACCAAGTGAAAGAAAAAAAAGGAGGGAAAAAAAAGGCTACAGCCAGCCCATAAATCAGCAACAATTTTACATTAGAAAGGTACATGTTAAACAGACATTTTGTTGTACATAAACAGGCTGTAACAAAGACGAGCAAAACCAACTTCTTGTCAAACCTGGGTGTTCCCAGCAGAGCACTGTGATCTGCTCACTGCCCTACACTAATTAACTACTTAATTAATGGCTTAGAAGAGACGCGAGTGACCATCACACTGCCAGAGGTGTGACAAGAGTGAAAGAAGCTCCCGACAGAGGACACGAGATGGGTATGAAATGAAGGAGAACAACGAAATAAATCCAAAGAAACGCAGTCTGAGCTCCCTGCTTGTGCCTGGAGGCACATTTCACCTTCAGTGAAAAACATTTTCAGCAGCAGGATCAAGATCTGCATTTTCCCAGAGCTCACAACAGTTCTGCCAGCACTGAATGAGCTTGGACACAAACAGGTGAGTGAAGCTGATGGAAGGGGTTCTTACCAGGGGGTGGTTTTTGTGGCTGCTCAGCACCAGCAGGTCATGCATCTCCCAGTGATTAACAGGTGGGGCCCAAGCTAAGAAATGATGGTTAATTCCACTACACTGCAAATATGCCAAAACATTCTAATTATTACTTTAAGTTTCTCCCTGAATAAACTTTATTAACAATTTCTTCCTCTGCAGGCAAAATTTTCTACAACTCTCACACCATGATTAAATTAGCATTGTTTATGTTTTAGAGTATTTAAAGTCTGAAATTACAGGCAATAACTATAAAATAGGGGGATAATTAATGATAATAACTCATTCCTGCAGAAACTGGGCTGATGCTCAGCAGTTACGACACTTTTTATTCCCAGCAGCTCCTTTATGGTACTTGAAATTACTCAGTAACTCTCCCAAGCTAATTTTTATTGCCAGGCAAAACTTTTGGCAGCAGAGGGGCAGGTTCTGGTGTCCACTTCTTGCACAACTTCAGCCAACAACAACAACAACAACAACAACAACAAGAAGTCTGTGGGAAGTACGAGTCTAAATTCTCCTTGTTGTAAAAGCTGGTGCAGCCCCTAAATCTTGGGAAG